AAAACTAAGATCATGGCATCCAGTCCCATCACTCATGGCAAATAGATGGGGAAACAATGGAAACAGTGAGAGACTTGATTTTGGGGGGCTCCAAAATCACTGCAGATGGTGAATGCAGCCATGAAGTTAAAAGATGCTTGTTCCTNTGAAAATGTTAAAGAACAGTGGTGAGATTTTTAGACTCAGCTTTTTATTCCTTCACAAACGGTGAGTGTCTGTGCTGTGCTGTACTAAGTTGCTTCAGTCGCGTCTGACTCTGTGATCCTAGGAACTGTGTAGCCTGCCGGATTCCTCTGTTCATGAAGTCCTCCAGGCAAGAATACTGGAGTGGGTTGCCATTTCATCCTCCAGGGGATCTTCCCAACCCAGGGATCAAACGCACGTCTCTTATGTCTCCTGCATTGGCAGGTGGGTTCTTTACCACTGGTACCACCTGGGAAGCTCCCATTGAGTATATACTATGTGTCAATTACAGATCAGGAATGGAGTACAAATACAGCCTAATCCCATCCTCAAGGAATTTAAAACCTAACAGGTAAGACTTGCTTTCAGTGTAGTGTGGTACATGGTGAGATAGTTAAGTAGCGGTTGGATAGAGTTGAGGTCTTCGAAATCAGCGGTCAAAAACCCTTTTTTTGTAACGGACCAAGTATTGTATATTTTAGACTTTGAGAGCCATATTTGTCACAGCTGCTCATCTCTGCTGTCATTGTGTGAAAACAGCTATAAAGGATACATAAATGAATGAATGTGACTGTGTTCCAGTAAAATGCTATTTATGGGCACTGAAATTTTAATTCTTGTGATTTTAACATGTCACAACATTTTAAAAAAATTTTTAACCATTTAAAAATATGAAAACTGTGTTATAGCTGTCAGACCATACAAAGACAGATGGCAGGCCAAATTCAGCTCATTGGCCATAGCTTGCCAACCCTTATTCTACACCTTAGAATTAGAGAATATTATTGAATGTGGTTCTTTCTGATAGCTTATCCAGTCCTAGCTACTTTTATTTACTAGAGGAGTTTACTAACCTGTCATCTTTAGGAATATTGAAAGTCTCATTGCTAATCCCAGTGGTTTCTGATTATCCCTGATATTCTAAATGCTAATTGTGATTCTGTTAAGATAATAAAAGCACCAAGAACAATCTATTACATTGATGATATGCATGTTTCCCAGCACACATGTTCTAAACTTTGTTGCTTGCAGAGTCAAGTGTAAGGCTTGAGTGTTTGAGAAACAGGGAGCTGTGTGAATTGTGGAGTTGTGGGGCAGCTGAATAGCAGCACATGTAAAACAGCACCTCATCTGAAACAGTCAGCAGCCTTCACTTAGTACCAGCCAGTACTTAGGAATGCCACCCTAATACTCCCTGATGAAAAATACCTAAGAGAAGCCAGAAATCCAGACTTAAATCTCCCAGCTGTTTCATTTGGTGGCAGATATGTTTGGGGTTCTTTTTTTCATTCTTTCTGTGAATAAAATAAAACCCTCTTTAGGTCTCACTTCAGCAACTGGCCATCTGTGTCCTAGCAAGTTTCATTTTCTGTTTCAAAGGAACTTTTAGAGAAGTATCTATAGTGATACGCATGAATGATTTTATTTTGAAATTTTAAATCTCAGGATATTTTTATCTTAATACTGAAAATTATTATTAAAGCAGTTTTAATCTACAAGTCAAATGCAAATTTCTGTATATGCTGTTCACATGTTCAGCTGTTGCTAAGTCTAGGTCTAAATATATCCACTACTTGCAGCTTTCTCCTATAGCTGAATTTATGGTCACAAGCTTTTTTCTTTTTGTTAATATCTTTACTGTGATATAATTCATATACCTTATAAATCACCCACTTACAGTCTTTGTTTTTAGTATATTTACAAAATTGTGCAACTGTCACCACAGTCACTTTTAAAACTTTTTTTAAAAATCTGTTTTGGTTGTGCTGGGTCTTAGTTGCAGCCCACGGGATATTCGATCTTCATTGTGGCACATGGAATCTTTAGTTGTGGCATGTGGAATCTAGTTTCCTGACCAAGCATCGAACCCAAGCCCCCTGCATTGACAGCAGGGAGATTTAGCCACTGGACCACCAGGGATTAAATCTGATAGAATGCCTGAAGAACTGTGGATGGATTTGTGACATTGTACAGGAGGCAGGGATCAAGACCATCCCAAAGAAAAAGAAATGCAAAAAGGCAAAATGGTTGTCTGAGGAGGCCTTACAAATAGCTGTGAAAAGAAGAGAGGTGAAAGGCAAAGGAGAAAAGGGAAGATACACACATTTGAATGCAGAGTTCCAAAGAATAGCAAGGAGAGATAAGAAAGCCTTCCACAGTGATCAGTGCAAAGAAATAGAGGAAAACAATAGAATGAGAAAGNCATTTGAAAACTAGCAAAAGAGATCAATGTTTAGAAAAGTACAGCTATTAGATATATTTTGGTATCTTTCTAATTGAATTTTGCTTTATTCCAGAAAATTTAGAAAATATAGCTAAAGGAAAACCTAGCAGACTTTAAAATAATTCAAAATTGTGCCACTCAGAAATTAATTACAAGCATCTAATTTCTAAAATAAAAGTAATACTTACATATGGGGATGGGGGGACCCTGAAACTTTTATTGAGAGGCATAAAATGAAAGCTTATTCACCTCCCAGCTGACCACCCCTACCCCATCTCACTGGGGCTTTTCTCCTCAGGCAACCACAGATAGATAGTTGCCCAGGTGTCCTTTGTTACTTGTTATTTGACAGTCTTTTGTTGTTTGTTTGTATTCATGGCAGGGTAAAATTTATACCTATTTTGTGCTTTTTTTTTTTCACTTTGAGATATGTCAGGATGAGAATTTAAAGGTCAAATTCTACTATAAATACTGTTAACATTTTGTTATATTTCTTTACATTGGTGTTGCTAGTGCATGATCATGAAGGACAAAGATGAACCTTGCTTGTACAACTCAAAATTCCAAACTGGAACATTTTAGTGTTTTAATATTTAGTATGCATTTTTGGAGAAGGAAATGGCAACCCACTCCAGTATTCTTGCCTGGAGAATCCCATGGACGGAGGAGCCTGGTGGGCTACAGTCCATGGGGTCGCAAAGAGTCAGACATGACTGAGCAACTTCACTATCACTATGCATTTTATGTGGTGATTTAAATCCAGACTTTAAATCTGACTTAAAAACATTCTAGGTAGTATGACAAAAGATTTTTTAGATTTGTGAACTTATTTTAATTCTGTTAGAATATGAAAAATGTATCATTTTTTGAAATATATTTAATCTTCATTTCAAATGATTAGACAGAAGCTATTTGGTGGCTCAGACGGTAAAGCGTCTGCCCACGATGTGGGAGACCTGAGTTCAATCCCTGGGTCGGGAAGATCCGATCCCCTGGAGAAGGAAATGGCAACCCACTCCAGTACTCTTGCCTAGAGAATCCCATGGATGGAGGAGCCTGGTGGGCTACAGTCCATGGAGTCGCAGAGTCGGACACAACTGTGCGACTTCACTATGCTCTAGTATGATTTTTAAATTCCTTCCCAGTAACATAGTTCTAGAAGTAAGTCATCAAGCCAGGGGGAGAAAACTACCTTTTTTTTTTTTTTTTTTTTTTTAGAAAACTACTTTTAATAGGTATGGGACTGTGAACGTTTTTTCCTTCTGTTCCTAAGATAATGTGTATATAGGAATATTAGTGTTTTCTTGGACTGCACTTTTCTTTTACATTAAAAGTTTGATTAACGAGAACTAGGGGAGATTGCACTATTATGACTAACTGAATTTTGATTATCTGAGGAATAATCAGTAGAACTTTGTGTTGCTCTGTTCTTTTTTGTCGAAAATCTTCCTGATCTCTATCAGTACCTTTTCTTCCTTTAATAAATACTTGTTTGTTTCCATTGCTTGTCTGTGCAAGAACCATATCTAAATTATATATCCAAGTCCCTCACACAGAGAAGATCAGATGTAAAATTAAGTGCATGATAAATACTTTTTAAAGGTTTTGTCGTTGAAAATAACTTAATCTTTCTTTGGGATTTAGCATGCAATATTCTGACTCCTTTCCCAGGAAACTGAGCTTTTACCATTACATTGTTTCAGGTACATGTGTAAAAGTTTGGATAACATGTATCAAAAAAAAAAGACAATAGAGCCATAGAAGGCCCCAAATAGCCAATAATATGGCACTGGCCCTAAGACAGCCACTTAGATCCATGGAACAGAATAGAGTCCAAAAATAAACCTACTCTCATATGTTGCATTAATCTGTGACAAAGGAGACAAGAATATACAATGCAGAAAAGATAGTCTCTTCCATAAATGTTTTTGGGAAAACTTCTTTTCATGCAGAAGAATGAAACTGGAACACTTTGTTGCACCATATTCAAAAATAAACTCAAAATGGGTTAGACTTGAATGTAAGATCTTAAATCATGAAACTCCTAGAAGAAACATAGACAGTCACCTCATTTACTTTGATCTTAGCAGTATTTTTTTGAATATGTCTCTTCAGCAGCATAGACGGACCTGGAAGGTGTTGATGCTAACTGAAATAAGTCAAACAGAGAAAACACCAAATGATTTCATTCACATGTGGAATCCAAAAAACAAAACAAATGGACTCATAGATATAGAGAGCAAACTGGTAGTTGCCAGAGGGAAGACAGGTCAGGGAAGACAGACAAAATAAGTGAAAAAGATAAAGAGATAACAACTTTATTGGTTATAGATGATGTATAGTTATTATGATGATCACTCCATAATGTATAAAAATATCACATCACTATATTATGTACCTGAAACAAATATATTATTAATTATAACTCAAGTAAATAAGGCAAGCAATAAAGAAATGTTATTTTTATATTATAAATACAATTGCTATAATGGAATGTTTCTTTAATTAAAATTTTAAGAATACTATGCTTTGATAAGTTGATTTGCTTTAGTCAGGTATAAAATTTAAGAGCATAAGACTCATACATCTATGACTAAAGTATTTTTCTTCCTTTCCTTTCTCCCTGCCTAGTTACATATGCTTTTTAAAGTATGCTTTATATTTACATCATTTCTGTATTTCTTGTGGCCACTTGCTGAAAGTTAATTCTCTGAAACATTTTTGGTTTATTTATAGATTGGTCAAAGAAAAAATGATGTATGAAAAAGAAGCAAAACAACAAGAAGAAAAGATTGAAAAAATGAAAGCCGAAGATGGTGAAAATTATGCTATTAAAAAACAGGTAAAATTATTATTTAAGATATAATTTTACCTTAAGACTTAAGTCTATAGTTCCTCTCTAATCTCATACCATCCTATAACTTTAAGTACCATCTTTATGACCACTCATTTATTTACACAGCAGATGTTTATTAAACCCCTGCTACTTGCCAAATGCTGTTTCAGGCACTCTTTTAGATGTGGCATTAAAATAAGAAAACAAACAAACCCAGAATTCCTGCTTACTTGGCATTCATTCTCGTGCCAGTGTCTCTGAGTCCGATAGAAAACATTCCAGATGCATGCATTCAACTGATCACCTCTTGAAATATCCTATCCCTTGTGTGTTCAAGCTAAGAATCTTGGTCTTCCCTCAACCCAGCTCCAAAGAAGCTATTCTCGCTCTTGTTTCCCCCCTCTCAATGAATGGTACCTCTGCTTACTCAGATACCCAGGCCAAAACTTACAGGTCTCCTCTTGATCGCCAAGGCCTCTTTCTTTCTCTGATTTCTTTCTCTGCTGCCCCTCTCCTGGCCCAGTCCACTGTCCCTTCCTGCCTGGCCTAGTCCACTGTCCCTTCCTGCCTGGCCTACTGCAGAAGCCTCCTTGTTGGTTCTGTCTCTTGGCAACCCTGCCTTCCTTTCATGACGCAGCAGGCAGGTCAGTCTCTTTAGAATATGTATCATATTGCTTATCCCGTTACCTGAAATCCAGTGTCTAATGGATTTAGAATAAAATCCAGATGACACTAGGTAAAAGGAGAATATGTAAGAGCTTATATAGATAATATCTCAAGACTTGTTTATCAGATCAGCTTTATGAACTCACAGTGGTTTCTTTTTTTTTTTTTTCCATTTATTTTTATTAGTTGGAGGCTAATTACTTTACAACATTGCAGTGGTTTTTGTCATACATTGAAATGAATTAGCCATGGATTTACATGTCAATGCTTTTTTATAACTTCTTCCATAAATATTCATATCCCCTTTATACCTCTCTCACTAAGGTACTCTGTTGTTTTCCCACATCTAGTGAGAAACTTCCAGGCCAGAATACAGGAGTCGGTAGCCTTTCCCTTCTCCAGGGGATCTTCCTAACTCAGGGGTCAAACCCAGGTCTCCCCCACTGCAGGTGGATTCTTTACCAGCTGAGCCACAAGAGAAGTCCAAGAATACTGGAGTGGGTAGCCTATCCCTTCTCCAGCAGATCTTCCTAACCCAGGAGTTGAGCCAGGGTTTCCTGCATTGCAGGTGGATTCTTTACCCGCTGAGCTCTCAGGGAAGCCCATAAAAGGGAAAAATACTTGTTCAAAAACCCTTTCTACACTCAGCCATATTAAGATTCTTTTGTCACAGTGGTCCTGGTTTATAACATGATTTCCTAGATTCATAGTCAGCCTAGTACTTAAATTTAAGAATACCATCCCATATCTAATTACAGAACAATAAAATTTTCATTTTTGCTATTCTCAACCTGCAGTATATATAGCTGTCAGTTGCAGTTTTGTCTCAGAGTCTCATGAAACTGTCTTTACTTTAGCTCAGCCCACATGCTTTTCTCAATTCCTTTTCCTAGCTTACCTGTATGGTTTGTACAACCATTTATGTTTTTTCTTACGTGCAAGGGGAGTTGCACTGCCAGAAGCACTGCTCTGTTACTAATTGCCTACTACTTTAAGGGCAGTCACTGTTGCTTGACATTTGCTGACGCCCCTCATAACAAACACCAAGAAAGCCAAATGCCAGGTTTTGTGGGTTCTCTACTGTTTTCCCTGTATTTCCTCCTTTTCTGAGCTAAATGCCATCTGCAGTCACTTCTCACTATCTTGGCTTGTCTCTCACTTGGTTGCATTTGCTCTGGCTTTCCTGGACATTCTGAACCAGCCCTGTTTTATAACATACACGTACAGTGCTGTCCCTATCAAACTTCTTACCTGAAATTGATTACCAAAATTGTTCTCTCCTGGATTAGGCCTCATTTTGGTTCTTTTTTTTTTTTTTTCCATTTATTTTTATTAGTTGGAGGCTAATTACTTTACAACATTGCAGTGGTTTTTGTCATACATTGAAATGAATTAGCCATGGATTTACATGTATTCCCCATCCCGGTCCCCCCTCCCACCTCCCTCTCCACCCGATCCCTCTGGGTCTTCCCAGTGCACCAGGCCCGAGCACTTGTCTCATGCACCCAACCTGGGCTGGTGATCTGTTTCACCCTAGATAATATACATGTTTCAATGCTGTTCTCTTGAAACATCCCACCCTCGCCTTCTCCCACAGAGTCCACAAGTCTGTTCTATACATCTGAGTCTCTTTTTCTTTTTTTGCATATAGGGTTATCGTTACCATCTTTCTAAATTCCATATATATGTGTTAGTATACTGTAATGGAAAGTAAGCCAGAAAGATAAAGACCATTACAGTATACTAACTCATTCTGATTCTTTTAAAGTAAAGTAGGCAGAAGTTTCAGGGCCCTGCCAAGCCAAAATACCAGTCAAAGAGTTATTCTGCTATCCTTTGTTTTCTGGCTAAAAAGTATAACACAATATTCAAAAGTTAACCGAATATTGATGTTAGCCTTCTTCTGCTTATGATATTCCTCTTTTCCTCCACCTTCTTCATTATACTTAATTTTTATGTGAACATAAGTTTTCATTTTTTGAGATAAATGCCCAAATAATTGCTGGGTAATGTTCTTAGATTTTTTGCTTTAAAAGAAACTACCAAGATCTTTTCTGAGTGGCTGTGTTCATATCATTTTATGTTTCTATCAGTCATCTTTGATGGTTTGACTTCACATCCTCGCCAGCATTTGGTGTTATCAGTATTTTTTTAAATTTTGTTTGTTTATTCTTGGTTGTGCCAGGTCTTCATTGCTGCCCCAGACCCCCTCTAGTTGCGGTGAGCGGGGCGTCTCTCCCTTGCTGTGTGCGGGCTGCTCACTGTGGTGGCTTCTCTCGTGTGGAGCACAGGGCTTCTCGGCGTCTGTAGTTGCTGTATGCAGATTCTAAAGCGCTGGCACAGTAGGTGTGGTGCACGGCCTTAGTTGCTCCGTGGCGTGCAGAGTCCTCCTGGACCAGGATCAAACCTGTCTCCCCTGCGTTGGCGGGCGGATTCTCAACCTCTGGACCACCAGGGGAGTCCTGGGTTATCACTGGTGTTTTCACCATTTTAATTTTGACATTCTACATGATTAGTGTATAGTGACAGCTGATTTTGCTTTTAATTTGAATTTCCCTAATGGCTAATAATATTGAACTTCTTCTCATTTGCTTATTGCCCGTCTGTATATCCTCTTCAGTGAAATGTCTATCCATGTTTTCTGCTTATTTTTAATTAGATATTTTGTTTCTGTTAGTTTTGAGAATTTTTAATATTTTCTAGATAAATGCCTTTTGTTGGATATATGGTTTGCAGATATTTTCTTTTAGTCCTTATTTTGCCTTTTTACCCTCTTAGTACAATCTTTTATTGACCAACAGTCTTTAACTTTGAGAACATCTCCTTTACAGCTAATGTATCCTTTTGTGAATCATACTTTTGATGTCAAATCTAAGGCCTTTTTGGCTAGACTTTGGTCCTGAAGATTTTCTTGTTTTCTAAAAGCTGCGTGGTGTTATTTATCTCTTACATTCACGGCTTCAGTTGAGTTTGAGTTAGTTTTTATTTAAGGTGTGCTTAGTCGTGCCCAACTCTTTGCAACTCCGTGGAGTGTAGTCCACCAGGCTTCTCTGTCCGTGGGAGTTCTCCAGGCAAGAATACTGGAGTGGACTGCCATGCCCTCCTTCACAGGTCTTCCCAACCCAGGGGTCAAACCCAGGTCTCCGGCACTGCAGGCGGATTCTTAGGTCTGAGCCGCCAGGGACGCCCATGTAAGGTGTGAGGTGTAGTCAGAGATTCGTGTTTTTGCCTGAGTGCCCAGTTCCAGCAGCATTTGCTGAAAAGGTTATATCCTTCCTCCACGGAAGTGCTTTTGTTCCTTTGTCAGAAACCAGTGGGACTTGTTTGTGTGGATCTGTTTTCGGGTTCTCTTCTGGTCCATTAATCTGTGTCTAACTCTACCAGCACCACACCATCTTGAATACTGTAGCTATGCAATGAACCTTAACATTGGGAAGAGTGAGCCCTCTCACTTGCTGCTTTTTCTCTCAGAATTGTTTTTCCTATTCTAATTTTTTTGCCTTTCCATAAAAATTTTAAAATAATGATCTCCATTAAACCTGGAGATCAACTTGGGGAGAATTAATGTCTTTACTATGTTGAATCTTCCAGTCAGTGAACATGGTAAGCCTCTCCAGTTTATTTAGGTCTCATTTCTTTCTTAGAATTGGGTTGGCCAAAACGTTTATTTGGGTTTTTCCAAACGAACCTTTTGGTCAACCCAATATTTTGTAATTTTCAACATACAGATCCTATACATGTTTGGTTAGATTTAAACCTAAGTATTTCATTTTTTTTTTAGGGTATTGGTATTGTTTTTAGTTTCAGTTACCAATGCTGTATTTGTTATTAGATATAAAAGTACAGTCAGTTTTTTGTGTGTTCATCTTAAAACCTGCAATCTTGACTTTGCTGACTTCACGTATTAGTTCTGGGAGTTTTGGGTGGATTCCTTCTGACTTTCTACATAACAATCATGTCATTTGCAAATACGGACAGTTTCATTTGGGGCTTCCCAGGTGGCACCAGTGGTAAAGAACCTACTTGCCAATGCATGAGATGTAAGAGACGTAGGTTCAATCCCTGGGTTGGGAAGATCCCCTGGAGGAGGAAATGGCAACCCACTCCAGTATTCTTGCTTGGAAAATCCCATGGGCTATAGTCCATGGAGTCACAAAGAGTCAGACATGACTGAGCAACTAACACTACACTACAGTTTCACTTCTTTTAAATCTGTATGTCTTCTATTTATTTTTCTTGCCTTGTTGCTCTGGCTGGACCTTACAGTGCTATGTTGAATAGGAGTGGTGAGAGTGAACATACTTATCTTGTTTTCAGTCTTAAGGGGATAGCATTTAGTT